ATCTCCCACGCGGTTGCAGGGGCCCAAAGACTTGGGCCATCTTCTACTGCTTTCCCAGGCCATAGCAGAGAGCTGGATTGGAAGTTGTGAGCCAGGACTCGAACATGCACCCATATGGGATGCTGGCACTGCAGGCTGTGGCCTCACCCACTATGCCACAGCGCTGGCCCTCTCCTTTTTTTTGGTCTAAAATTGGTCCTTTTACACCAAGCAATCACTGGATTCAGTTTCAATTCTTAGTCTCATAAAGAACAGTTTCTCCTCATCATAATTATCTTTGATGTTTATAAAGGCAAAACTTTGTTTGCGTATGTCGTGACTTAACTTTACCTAAAGCATAAGAGTGGGCACATAAAGAAGACAAAGGAAAGCCCATAGTTATACAAAGGCAAAACAAATTAAATTATATCTTGGAAGCTTGGGGAAAAACAATGTAAGGAAGAAAACTTAGGGGAAGTTGTGAGGGGGAACAAAGTATAATGCATTTGAATGCAGAAAAGTGCACTTTTGCTGTACTGACAGATTCTTCAGTTTAATATTGAACAATCTCTTTTATAGCTGTTTATAGCGTAATTTCCTCAATACATTTTTTAGCTCACACTTTTTACCTAATTGTGAGAAACTTTACATAAGAATGGGACATTTTGGAATTGGAGAGAAAGCTCAATCTCTGAATGTTAATATTTTATAGTATCATGTATGAAAATGGTTTTATATGAATTTCATTTCTTTTTTTTTTTTTTTTTTAATTTTTGACAGGCAGAGTGGACAGTGAGAGAGAGAGACAGCTGGTTCACCCTCCAATGGCCGCTGTGGCCGGTGCACTGCGGCCAGCGCACCGCGCTGATCCGAAGGCAGGAGCTAGGTACTTATCCTGGTCTCCCATGGGGTGCAGGGCCCAAGCACCTGGGCCATCCTCCACTGCACTCCCTGGCCACAGCAGAGAGCTGGCCTGGAAGAGGGGCAACTGGGACAGAATCCGGCGCCCCTACCAGGACTAGAACCCGGTGTGCCGGCGCCGCAAGGCGGAGGATTAGCCTAGTGAGCCACGGCGCCGGCGAATTTCATTTCTTGAATAAATAATTTTGCAACATAAAAAAAGAAAATTTAACAGCAAAGGGAAAATGGACAAGAATCAACAAGATATATTCAGTAACTCTGGACAGAATTTAGGAAGAGTTTCTGATAAGAAAAATAAACCAAAGATCCAGATGCTAAGTGGAATTAAGAAAAACAACACAAAATATAAATAAGTAAAAAAAAAAAAAGTAGGTAAAGAAGGGAAAAAGAAATGCCAGCTGATGCTCATTAAGTAAATGGCATGTGAATTTTAAGGAAAAGCAATACCACACACCAGCTTAGTAGCAATCTACCTCTCTGTGTGGCTATCCCTAGCCTGAGGCCCTAGGAAAACTGCACATGCAGGCCCTTCTTTCTGGATTCTTGTTAAGGGGAATGCAGGTTGAAATGCAGTTTTCTTCTTCCTCCCGGTAACCTTCTCCTCTTCTTTATTGAGAAATCTGGGGTTAGGGGCATGGGAGCTGGGTGGAGTCAGAGGAGAGGCTAACAACTTTGGGCCAATTCTAACAATTTGTGTTAGCAATCGGAAAGCCTTTATTGTATACATGTCACATACAAGTATTATTATAATGAAAAAAAAAATAGTACCAGCTGAAATGTTTTCCTGCCTTCCCTCCTGCACTGAGCCGCTGCACAGTCCCCAGCAACCTGTCCCTGGAGACAGACCCGATATTTACAGTGCACGGACCTGCCCATAGGTAGAGAAAACAACAGCCTTGCTCAGTGCACCATCATGTGTCGAATTCAACACAGTACCAACTGGGCCTGCCAAGATGACAGGCACGGACACACAGCAACACAAAATGGGCCTAGACAAGAATGGGAATTCAGAAACCTGGTGCAGCAGTTTTCACTGCTCACTGAGATTAGGGGCAACCTGGTCCAGGTGGTCAGCGGCGAGAGGCTGCAGGGCATTCGCTGGGCCAAGCAGGCGAGGTCAGCTCCAATTACTCCTGGGCAGCTGAGTTCACTGATTTTGGTGGCTCCCGGCCAGGACTGCATAACAGACAGAGGCCTTAGGGGATGAGAATTATCGGGATTGGCTCTGCAACTTGCTCATCCTGGGGCCCAGGTCGTCTGCCAGGCCACTGTGCTACCGCCCTGGGTTGGCCCACTGCAGGGGAGGGACTTGAGGTGCCTCCAACGGGGTGGAGAGAGGATTCTTTCCCCGACTATGCCACTGCCAAACGCCATTACTTTGGGGGAAGGTGCTTTGTGAGATCTTGAGCTGGACAGCCAAAAGGCCACGAGATGGCAGCAGAGGACACAGCCTGGGACACAAAACCTGAGCCATCTTGCAAAAAGAGCAGATCCAGAAACGGAAGAGAATTCATTTGGGCAATATTGTCAGCTGTCCATAATCACGCATTCAGAGTCAAGGTAAAGGGCTGCACTTCAAAGAACTGGGGTTAAAATTCATCAGCCTGGAGAATTTCCCAATCACCACAGAATTCAGCCACAGGCAATGAACTGGTTATTTCTTCAACGCTTAAAGCAAGATAGGAGTCAGGGCCTTTAACGACTGACATCAGCAGGAACCTTGTCACAGTCCCTTCTATCTGTGAAGTTCCAATTCACATCAAATGAGTGACCTCCATAGCAGCTGCCAAGCTGGAGAAAAGGGCAGATGCCGTGACTGCTGGGAAGCATTGCACCGAAGCAGAGGCTGTCCGGGCGCAGCCAAGGACTCTGGGAACAGGCCGTGTGGAAGGAGGAATAACGGAGAACCCAGGACAAGTCTGCCTTGGCTTGCAGCTGGCTGAGTACAATGCACACACAGGAAAGTGGCATTGACAGCACTGGGTCTCAGTACCAATTTTTTGACTTCTCATCTAATCTTCCTTCTGTTACATATTCTCTCATCCTCTCCCCCAGTGGTGACTGCCAAAAATGTCTCTAGACATTGCAAAATATTCTGCGGGGTGGTGTGGGTGTTGGGAGTGAGGGGACAAAATGACCCCTCCCTGACAATCAATGCCCTATTAGAATATCATTTTAAAAAAAAAGTTTTAAGAACTTAATGTTTAATCTAAGACTCGTACTTTGTAAAGTCAACATGAACAATATTGTACATACAAATCCTGAATTCCTACTGTATGTGTAATGCAAAGACCAGGAATTGAAGGACTTTAGACCGAATCTGGCCCTTGATTAAAAAAAATAGTTATCAACATTTGTAAAAGATTTACATTTTAAAAGTCAGATTTTCTGGTTTCTATTGGAAAATAGGGGATATGGCACTTCCAGGTCCACAGCCTCACAAAGCAATAATTGGGTAAAATTATGTAGGGATAAAGTCTTTAAATACAATGGGTCTTTCAAAAAATTCATAGAAAATACCTTTTAATTTTCCCACAGGGGCTGGCGCTGTGGTGTAGTGGGTAAAGCTGCCACCTGCAGTGCTGGCATCCATATGGGTGCCGGTTCAAGTCCTGGCTGCTCCACTTCCGATCCAGCTCTTTTCTATGGCTTGGGAAAGCAGTAGAAGATGGCCCAAGTGCTTGGGCCCCTGCACCCAAGTGGGAGACCTGGAAGAAGCTCCTGACTCCTGGCTTTGGACTGGTGCAGCTCTGGCCATTGAGGCCATCTGGGGAGTGAACCAGCGGATGGAAGACCTCTCTCTCTGCTTCTCCTTCTCTCTCTGTGCAACTCTTTCAAATAAATAACAGTAAATCTTAAAAAATAATTTTCCCCCAACTTTTAAAAATACCATCATTGAATGTGTGCTCTGTAGTTTGCCACAGTTCTCATTGCTCCCTATTACTGCATACCCAATCTGCTTCTCTCATTTAAACCACTCCCTACCTCTATAGGCAATTTATTTTCAAACCCTGAAGTGCCTTATGGGTTGAAAGTAGTTTTCCATACGTGATTTTATTTTAGTTTTGAAGTTTTGATACTCCTGTGAGATAAAGGATAAAATTTATGGTTTCAACCTCCATGTGAAAAAAATGTAGTTCAGATACCTGACTTGCCCAAGCAACAGAATCAGAATCTAAATTTTTTTACCTCCCTGTCCAATGATTTTTTGAGGAAAATTTCTATTATGAACTTCACTTGGGAGATCATGGAACCAAAGAACTAGATACAGGCCTAAAAATTTAAACAGAAGCATTCCAACTGTTATGGTGCTCAAGATAGACCACGAATGATGAACCCTTTTTCATTTAATACATTTCTGCCTCTTCTGCTCTCTCTATGCATACCAAAATTGCCCTTATTTCCTTGAAGTTGAGTGTGGCTATTTGACTTGCTTTGGCCAGTGAACTGTGAGTAAAAGTGATGTGTCCCTTTAGGGGACAAGCACTTAAGAACCTAAGAACAATTCTTCATGCGTGCTTCACAGTTGGGGGGTGCAGCCCTAAGCTTCATGGTGATATGATAGGAACTCAAAATGGCGGCCCTCCATCAGCTTGGGTACCTGAGCCTGCTTTGAACAGAAAGTGTGAGAAACAGACCTTTGTGGTCTTAAGCCACTGAGGTTTTAGCATTGTTACCATGGCAGGCATCACCTAGGGTAATCTGAGACAAGGTTCATCTGCATGATCTTTGAGCTTCTCAAAGAACTAGAATACAACATTTAGACTTCTGATCACATCCTGAAAAGCTGGGAGATAAGGAAAACTGTTGATTCCACCCCCACTCCCCGTTACTCCCCGTCCAGCGGCTTCCCCGTCTACCATCAGTTTTTGACTTCCAGGAAGATTTCTTTCTCAGAGCCCCTCATCCAGGAGCTCTCCATTAGGCGGCAGTTACAGGGGGAGGCCCGTCTCCGGTTTCCTCCATTCCAGAGCCTGATCCCCAAACTGTCCCCACCCACTAGTCCTCACACCTAACCTTGTCATAGGGCGACTATTACCCCTCCCAAGGTGTCACAAACAAAAAGAAGCTGCAGCTGGCGCCACTGCAGTATCCAGGCAGGGCAGCCAGGCTGCGCTCTATCCTCACTGCTGCTTGGGCTTGGCTGAGCCGGGAGAAGCAGCATTCTCTAGGGACTGAAGCCTTCTCAAGTGGGATCAAAAATGAGTGTGAGGAGAATACTCATCCCGGGCTCTGTGTGAATTTGGGGTGAGTTCTCTTAGTTCTCCAGCTCCGGTTACTTTCTAGTTTCTAGCGGCTAGTGAGCTGCCCGGCTAGTGCTACTGGGACTCCTAAGTCTTCCCGGGCTTTTCCCAAGCCCACCGAGCTTGCCATCTTTGCACACTTGCAAAAGCCGTAAACGGCGGGGCTTAGCGCAACCAGAGATCCAGCAACCCGACCGCGGCCAGGATCAAAGGTCAGCGGGGCGGCCAAGAGGCCGAGCCTGCGCAGTCCCGCTCCCGCCTTGGAAAGAAAGGGTGGCGACAACGCGGGCTTGGTACACCGGCATGCTCGCAAGAGGCGGGAAAGCTGTAGGTCGGACCGCCGCGTCCCTCTTTGCTTGCCGGGTCCACCAGCCTGCCTAGCGAGTCTGGCCTCGGGCACTCAGGCCCCGGGGACGTGGGGCGAGAGAAAGGCCGCGCGCTTCTGACTCATCAATCTCCAACCCCCTTCTCGCGCGCGCTCCAAGTCTCAGGACTTTGGACCTGGGCACTCTTTCGTGGGGGCGCGGCGACAGCATCTGGGGAACCCCAGCTTTGCCAAGCGCCAGCCCCCAGCCCTCACCGGCTCCGATGCAGTCTGTGGGAGGGATATGGACCCAGAGTCTGCTCTCAGTTGCCCTGGCTAGGGTAGCGGCATCCCGGAGCAGGACGGCCCGCCCGGCTCCACCCCGCACGCAGGCCAGTGGTCGCGTCCGAGACAACTCTCGGCTAGGCCTCGACTTGAGCGCCTCGCGTCACTCAGCAGATGCACAGCGCCCCAGCGGCGGAGGGCAGGCTCTTCATTTCCCAGCAGGCCGCAGGGCAGCGGGGCATGCTGGGATGTGTAGTCTCCAGCGAGTAGACAGCAACTGGATCGAAGGCTGGAAGGCAGCTCCCTGAATTGGATTCAAGAGTTGGCGTGTGCGAGAACTGGGGCTTGGAGTGCAGGGGATTGTGAGAGCTGGACAGAAGAGCACAGCGAGATGAGGCAGTTGTGAAGGTGTATGGGCGGGCAGAGGGGAAGGCTGGACGCAGCTTTTAGGGTGGCGAGACCAGGGAGGCTGTGGTCCAGGTGTGTCTTCTAGCGAGGCAGGGGAAAAAGGGGAGGCTTGCTTTGAGTGAGAGTCGAAGGCACCGCCTGGGACTTCATGCCAGTGTCGAGGGAGGCCGGCTAGCTTCTGAGTTTGCTGGGGTGGGACACTGGAGCGTCTGGAGAGCCTCCTCGGGGTGGGGGAGACGCACCTGTCTGCTTCCGCTTGTCCGGCTCACTCGCTTGTCCTGGTTCCTGTGCTGGCCCCCGTGGAACCGTTGTCCAAACTAGGAACGTCCTCCAACTCGGAGAGGCCCTGAGATCCAAAGAAGCAGATTGTAGGAGTGAGAAAGAAGCCCTAGAAGCAGCTTCGTTCTAACCCATTTCCACCACCCTGAGCTTGCTCTTCCAGTACCTTACTTGGGCAGCTTCCTAATGCTCTCCCACCCTTCTAGCCCCAACCATTTAGATACCCAGTTCCCTCTTAGCCACCATTACAGGGGAAATGGCCAACGCCAGAAAGCCAATCAGTTTTAAGTCTAGGATTATTTTCACTTCCTTTTGACCCGTTGTTTTTCCTTCAGCATCGTGGATCAGGGTAGACTGAAAATACTGGCTGGCAGCTGACTGTCCTGTCCTCCCAGCCCCCAGTACCTCGTGCAGCTCCTCGTAGCGCAGACTCCGGCTCCTGCAGCAGCAGCCTGGCTTCCTCTGGCTCAGCAGGAAGAGGGCATATGCCGAGGCCAGCACTCCCCCTAGGGTGAATGCCTCAGCGCTGAGCTGCACCACCAGCAAGCCAGCCAGCTGTGGGGAGATGGGGCGGAGGATGCTGCAGGGACCCAGCACCTCTTTGCTTTGCCCTTTCTGCCCTCCATCTCTTTTTGCTCCCTCCTTCTCCCACCTTCCCCTTCATGCACTTGTACCTGGGAGGGGGCAGGTAGGGCAGGCCCCAAGGCTGTCTTCAACACCTCGACCACCACCACAATGAAGCCCAAGATCAGGTTGAAAATGTTGAATATCATCATGGTGCGCACCTGCCAGACACTCAGCTCAGCCTTGGCCAGCCTGGGGGGCTTATTCCAACATCAAGTCCCACCTGCAGCCTTGCTGAAAATAAAACCCAAATCCTGCTTCTCCACCTCCAACTAGGGTCATCATCCTGTACCTTTCTTGTGCTCCCTCATTAGTCTTTTAGGCCAGTGACAGATAGACAGATGAGAGGATTAGTCATCTCTTAGAGGACCGCGTACTTCCTGTATGGAGCGGGTTCTGTGTGTGTGTGGGGGGGGTGGACAGGAGTGCAGTCTCTTCTCTCACCTTCCAGAGGCGGGGTGCTCTTCGAAGCTCAAGGGTGACAGCCCCAGTGAGAAGACCCTGAATGGTGAGACGGGCAAGTGTGTACCTCTGATCTCATTAGGGTGCGGCCCCAGGATCTTCCTCCCTTCCACCCTCCCTTGCGGTGGGTCTTACTGAGACTCCAGGCCCGAGTGGCAGTGCTGTGGTCATGTGACAAGCAGAGTTCAGGCAGGCGACTGAGACAGCCAAGGGCACCACAGCTATGGCCAGCCATAGCTGGCTGACCTGGGGGCCAACACAGGGTGGTTGAGGGAGCACTGTCAGGAATTCCTCTCCCTCCTCACAAGCCCTGCCTCTTCCAGAGATCACTAATGATTGACGGCGGAGGGCAGTTTTCCAGCAAGCGCAGAGAGGGAAGTGATCACTTCATCTTTGCTGCCTCGCATTAGAGTTTGCTTCCTTTTCTGTATGCACCCCCCCCCCCCCACCATGCACATGAGAGAAGCTACTTGGAGATTCGGGGTCTTGTCTCCACCCTCCTCCCACTCAGAGCAGTTTCTGGCACATGATAGGTGCTTGCTAAATATGCATGGAAATGGATTGGATATAAGTGGACATGCTGAGAGGGTAGGACAGCCTGCCTCACCGCCAGCACCAAGAGGTGCCCACTGTGCCTATGTCTTGCCCAGTGCTGCAGCTTTTCCAGACGAAGGCTGGGTCGCTCCTGCTGGCGCCGACCACCTGCATCCTCCATTGTGGGCCACAACAGCTGGGTGCTTCCTAGGCTAGGGAACACATTATGGAGCCTCTGTCCAGCAGGAGCCACAACAGAGAACAACATCTCTTTCCACTCCCCCTCTGCCCTCTCCCAGTGTCTAGGGGTTGAGGCTCTGGGCCTCACACCTACCTGGTCTGAAGCAGCTACTTCAGAAGGGTGGGACGCCCTGGGTCCTGGTGTGCTTGAGGGGCTTGGTAGTTCAGAGAAGACGGCAAACTTGTCCTGGTAAAGAACGGCTGTCAGGACTGGGACGTGGTGGGGCAAAGGTCCCTACAAGGACCTACGGATCCAGGAAGTGGCCCTGGGTAGACACCAGTCTTGTTCTTTCCACAAGACACACAGTGCTGCCTCGCTCTGTTCCCATTTCCTGTGGCCCCTACAGCTGCCCAACCTCGATTGCTCTTCTGGATTCCCTCACCTCATCCCCACGACACCATAACTCTGAATGTGCCCCTCATTTCTATCTGATCTCTCTCCTTTCTTTGGCTTCCTCCTCAAATTACTTGCTCTTCCCCTAGCAAGATCCAGATTACCGTCTGGATTGGTCCCTTGTCATTACTTGCAGCTTTGTCCCCAGACCAGGTTAAGTTTTGATTCTCCTGGCTTTCCTGCCTCTCACTTTATGGAGAGCTTTTCCTCTCCCTCCTTTCTTGAAAGGTTTACTCTGAGTTGGACACTGACTAAGAAGATGGAGAGGAGCTCTGTAGTGGGAATTTTTTTTTTTTTTTTGACTCTGATAAGCTTAAGCTAGATGTATGGAGAAGATGATCCCCAAAAGGTCAATCTTGGGAAAGATATCACTGCCACAATATTTAAAAATTCACTTATTTTCATTTTATTGAAAATCAGAAAGGCAGAGATAAACAGAGATCATCCATCTGCTGGTTATCTCCCCAAATTTTTGCAACAGCCATGGCTGGGCCAAGCCAAAGCCAGGAGCCAGGAATGAGTTCCTGGTCTCTCACATGGGTGGTGGATGGCAAGTAGCATTGCAGCCATCATCTGCTGCTTCCCAGGGCCCGCATTAGCAGGAATTTGGATCCGAAGTGGAGCTGAGACTCAGGACTGGAAACTAGGCATGCGGGATGCCAGGAATCCCAAATTGAGTCTTAAGTGCTATGCAAAACACTATTGAAACACTGTTTGAAACAGAAGATGCCTTGCAGGCAGAGGAGCTATCAGCTCTACCATTTTCCAGCTGTGTGACCCTGGGTACGTTGTTTTACCTGCTTGAACCCCGATTTGTTCACTGATAACATGGGGTTAAGAATGGGACTGTGATGAGTTTTTGATTCACGGTGGGTGCTTAGTAACCATTGGTGTTGCTGATGAGGTCACACTGATGTGCCCGCTGCCCACATACCACCTGGCTTATTCAGAAACTAAGCTGGAGACACTCACCTTTACAGTAAGAAGCAGAACCAGCTGGGCCCACATGTCTAGCGCTCAGAGGTGGAAGAGGCCTATCTTAGTGCAGAACTGTTCAAACTCCCCATCTACCTGGGTGACCTTGAGCAGGTTGTTTAATCTCTGTTTCCTTATCTATAGAGGGAAGTTAATAATACCAATCTCAAGGGGTTGCCTTGGGCATTAAAAGAGAAAATGCATATGAATCAGCTTGGCCCAGCAAAGCTCAATAAATGTTAGCAGCTATTATCATCATCATTATTTATTATTATTGATAGAAGACGACTGAGAAGATCCCTAAGGATCAGTAGCAGCAGATGGGGGTCCTGGGAAGCAAGTGGTCTTCTTGGTAAACCACTCTGCCCCCTCAGCGTGCAGGTTTAACATTCTGGGAGGGCTGTATCCACCCTTTTCTTTCCTGGAGAGTGGGATTCACATTTTCCAAGGATCCGGAGAACCGTGTGCCTCTGGTCCTCTCTCCTCAATCCCCACGCGTGGTAACTTTATTTGATGGCCATGTGAGATGTTGAGTCTGCAGGCCAGTGGGGGAAGGAGACTCCTCGAGCCTTGTTTTTCCTTATCTGTAAGTGGGGGCTAATTATATTGCAGGATTGTTGCAAGGATTACATACCATTAAGTAGGCGACCACGCGTTCAGTTCCCGTGGAGCTCACAAGCAGCTTTGTAGCCCCTGTCTAGACCACAGTCTCCTGGAGGGAGGGCACCCCTCCCCCTCATCTGTGCATCCCCCACAGCGCTGAGCAAGGGCCTGGTACTTTGTAAGCACTTAGTCAATATTTGTTGAATTGAAGAGCCACTAAAAAGACCTTAAGGAATGGGAAACGGCATTCGAGAGAAAGAAGCTGGAATTGTTTATCAAGAACAGAAGGGACCGAACAGTAACTTTAATCATGTTTCTTATACGGCAGACATTAACTATCTCTATCATCGCCCCTCCTCCTCCCCAAAAAGAGAGACAGAAATTGTAAGGGAGAGGCTCTGAGATAAAACCCCAGGAAGAACTTCCCGAGTCTGTGCATGTTGGGGCAGACAGCGGCAGAGCCAACTCCTTCCCTGGTATGTCCGGGTTCAGGGTGGGAGGGGCAGCCCTGCTTGGAGGCTGGGGGAAGGACGAGATGACCTTTCAAAATCTCTTCCAGTCTCCTGTTGGAATCGCCCGTGCGCCCCACCCCCGCTCCTTCCCGCCCTCCCTCCCTCCGACAGCGCCCCCCAGCCTCCGCACGGCCCGCACCCCGCCCCTGGCGGCCGCCTCTCGCGGCTCCCGGGGTGTTATCGTCCTGTGCCCTTAGCCCGAGTTCTGCTCTCGCGCGACTTTCACTCTCGCCACACCTGACTAGGAATGCTAATTGTAC